CCTACCTCCCACCTACCTACCTACCTACCTACCTACCTACCCACCCACCCACCTACCTACCTACCTACCTACCTACCTACCTACCTACCTACCTACCTACCTACCTACCTACGTACATCCGTACATACGTACACATGTACATATGTAGATATATGCATAGATGTGCATATATGTGTATTTTGAGTGTTGTATGAATTTATGAATGTATTTATGTATGTATGTTTGTATATGTATGTATGTAAAAGTATGTGTATGTATTTATGTGTATGTGTGTATGTACTGTATGTATGTATGTATGTATGTATGTATGTATGTATGTATGTATGTGTGTATGTACTGTATGTACTGTATGTGTGTATGTGTGTATGTATGTATGTATGTATGTATGTATGTATGTATGTATGTATGTATGTATGTAAACGTATGTGTATGTATTTATGTGTATGTGTGTATGTGCTGTATGTATGTATGTAAGGTACATCTGAAGACCTGATCTGCTCCGAGTGCCGCTCATGGGCGCAATCAATGCAGAAGTCGGCGCAGGAACTTATCAACCGAAAGATGGTACAAATCAAGCGCAAAGATGAATGATAGCTGAGCGGATTTTGGTAGAATTGTGAAATTTTGAGCTTGAGGAGATCTCTCTGAGTGTTCATCTGGCAGCTTCGTCGTGTGGAGAGATGTAGCACTGCCTCACAACGCTCGGAGTTTGAGCTAAGGGGTTTTGGTCTTGTTTACTCGGTGACTAGCTGCTCCTGTCGCTCTGAACCAGATGCATTTTTGCTTCCAGAAGCCAGAGGCAGCTCCACGTTGCATCTGGCAACGTTGTGGGCTGGCTGCTGTGCTCATGCTATACATAGCAGGTTTGCACCATGAGATTCGTCAAACGAATCGCGTCACTGCAACCTGCCCAGTAGTCCAAATCCGTCTGGAAGCAGGCAACCGTTTGCCTGAGGCAGACCTGCCACTTAATTAGTTTGGAATGGGGTTTGGAAGCTGTGCTAATGCCATCTGGGCCAACCAGGGCCTATTCGAAGAAATTTCAGGCAGGTGCTGCAGTGTTGAAAGTGCCCTCGGCAAAGTTCGGGTTATTCAGGTGCTGGGGTCTTTGAAGCGTAGAGTGCAGGTTTGGGCGATTTCAGCCTCGTTTGTCCCGGCCCTCTCGGCTGGGATGCGTGCCTGCGCTTGATTTCACAACTGAGTTTGTTTCATACGCAATCCTTTCAGCACTCAGCATCGGGCCTTCGAACACCTAAGCTTAAACCTTAAATCCACACTAACTCTGAGGCACCTGTCCGATCTCCCAAGGCCGTTGCAAATGCAATGTGCCAGAGCCACGGCTTTTCATTGCCTTTCAGAAAGGCAGCTCCTGCTTGCACTGCAGCAGACGACCGCCGTTTAGGGCTTGGGACCTCTGGACTTAAGAGGCTCTACATCCCAAGATAAAACGGAATCGGGTTTAGGGTTCAGGGTTTAGGGTTTAGGGTTTAGGGTTTAGGGTTTAGGGAGTGTCTGCTATTGAGAGGTCCTTGTGAACTCTAGGGATTTGGAGCCTCTGGGTGGGGGTGGTCTCCATTTAGAACTCTGACTTTGCAGCTTATCCAAGGGCCGGTCTCCTCCCCAAGTCGGGGACGAAGGAATTTGTCACAGAACGGCCCGAGGTCGTCGTGGCACTCGTGGCAGCAAGAAGTATTACATGATCTGAGACCCCGGGTGCTGCGACAGCAACAACAACTGCCGGCGCTCCCTGCCAGTCCTACTCCGATCCCGAAAGCAAGGCAACGAAGCTAAATCTTGCTGCTGCCCAACTCCACTTGACCAGCTGAATGCCTCCGCCGACGGCTTCGAAAAAAAGCTTCGAGAAATCGGGGAGTCGAGTCAGCGAAAACCCAGCAGAGGGGAAGGCTGCGTTCTTGCAAGTTTCTGAATCCCGGAGCTTCGCGAGTGTGGAATTCTGTCGTGTTTCTGAAGCTGCTGGATCCAGCTCCATCACACCAGTCATCCTCAGGCTTTCGGCTTTAAGGCATTAGGCCAAGCTTCTTTCCATGCGCGATGCCATGAAGTTCATGTGCACGTGCCATTAGATGCCTCCATGGGTCAGACGTCGGAGCCTCACTCGATGTTAAATGCCCGAGCTGCATGGGACTCACTGCGACCACAAAGATGCCGGCATGTCAATTTTTGAGGGTTCTCCAGCTCTTTGTTAATAACACGAGGCCCAGCCAGTCCAGTGCAGAGGCCGTGGAGAACTCACAGGCCGCCGTGATGATGGAGTGTTGTAGTTGTTGTGATTGCAAAAACGATATTGGGGGGTTTAGGTCGCGTTTGCCGCTGCTGGTCGTCATGATCATGAACCATCTGTGAACATTGCCACAGGCGAATGCCCGCGAGACCAGCCTCCAACCAGGAGGTGCGTTCCTTTGTCTAGCGCGTTCTCTGCCTCTCTGTGAGGTGCGTAGAGCGCCGCAGCTGTACAAGTGAGTTAGACCATGCCCTGCCCCTAAACCCTAAACCCTACACCCTAAACCCTAAACCCTAACCCCTAACCCCTAAACCCTAAACCCTAAACCCTAAACCCCTAGAAACCTTGCCCTGCAACCTCGCGCTCGCGAGGTGTGCAGTCGGGGCTCTACAGCTTTCTGCTGGGCTGCACGACTCCCTGCTCCGATGGCGGCTTCGGCGAGAGCACCGGTTCGTGCTTGCCTCAGACCATACTCATCATCATCGTCATCACAGTCACCACCATAATAATAAGAACCATAATTACTATTATTATTATTATTATTATTATTATTATTGTTATTATTATTATTATCAGCATCAGCATCAGCAGCAACATCAGCATCACCATCACCACCACCACCATCATCACCATCATCATCATCATCAAGATCATCATCAGCAGTGTCCTCGCCGTCATCATCGTATCATCATCATGTGTCTGTCGTTGCCTCTAATTACCAAGCGGCTATACAAGAGAAAATGCAAGAGTCTTAATCACTCCTACTCTACTCCTAGTCCTACTACTACGACGACGTCTCTAGGAGCACTGCTACTCCTGCTACTACTGCTGCTACTGTTACTTCTGCTACCCCAAGCCCTAAACCCCAAGCCTAAATCTCGGAGGCTTGCAAAGGTGGTGCAGCATTGCTGCATCGCATCGGAGAGGGAGGCCGCTGGAGCATCATCGAGCTTCATGGATCGGGGATGAGGTAAGTTGACGGTTTAGGGCCGTCACTGTGCGATTTAAGGGGATTTCGGCTTTTCGGCCCTAAACCCTAAACCCTAGGAGCTGTCTTCTTCTCTCTGCATCTTCCATCCTTGTCAGGGTGTGCTGGAGCTCGTGGAGCAGCACCGGGTGATCGGGCCGGGTCCCTGGTTTCCCGACTGCTTCCCTGTCGAAGCCCCGGGTGTAGGGTTTAGGGTTTGGGGGGTAGAGCTCAAAAAGGCCCAGAAAGCACAACCCTAAGCCTTCTGCCCTCAATGACTCAATGGCTCAAGCCTCAGCTTCAAATGCCGGCAATCCTCAGACTGCAACCAGTTGGAGCCCCCAGGGACGCAGTGACCCTGATCGAAGACAATGCCCGGCTCTTAGATCTGCAGGTTTCGCATTTCGGTTTGCGGCTTGCTTTCTCTCATCCGATGGATCTTGGCTAATCTCATCCGATGGATCTTGGCTAGGCCGTGTTCGTAGATCCCAAACAGCCTCAACACCATAACCGGATCATATTCCTGGACATTCCGTGTCTTTAGACCAAAGCGTCTCTGGGGTTGGGGTTTGAGTTTCAGTGTCAGAGGCTTCAGGGAGGAGACGGTTGGGGTTGCGGGTCTACGGGCTTAACTGGCTTTAAAGTAGAAGAAAGCTGGAGCAGATGATCCTGATGTCGTTGCGTTCAGGTAAAAGGGAACCTGGCACGAATCATCATTAATCCAGATTCATGTTCCAACTTGTGGGACTTCATTGTACTTTTCAGTGGCTTCATGTCTTGGGATCAAAGGGCTCTCATGTCTTCGGCCATGGAATTGATGTGGCCGAGTCCGGAGTTCACGCAGTTGACGGCTTGGGGTTGAGGGTTTGGGCTGCAGGACCTCGGTTTTTGTTAGCGTAGGGTTGGGTACTAAACCCTGGCCCTAAACCCTAAACCCCTAAATTCTAGACCCTAAACCCTAAACCCCTAAACCCTAATCCCTAAACCCTTAAATTCTGAACCCTTAACTCTAAACCCTAAATCTGCATGGCCCCAAGAGCCCCACGAGGCCTGGTCTTCGCCCTTGGCCGCGGAGATCCTCGGAGGTGCTCCGTTTCGCTTCTTCGTTGTTCGAGTTCAGGGTTTAGGGTTTAGGGTTTAGGGTTTAGGGTTCTTCTTTGCGGGTTTAGGGTTTAGGGGTTTAGAGTTTAGGTTTAGGTCGTCTTGTTCGAGTTCTTGGGGCTCCTAGGGTTCTGTTTTGGGGTTTAGAGCTTAGGGGTTTAGGGTTTAGGGTTTAGGGGTTTAGACTATTTAGAGTTTGGGTTTAGGGTTTACGGTTTAGAGTCAGGGATGTCATTCGACATTTAGGAATTCACGGGCTCTGCAGGGTTTAGGGTTCTGTTAGGGGGCGAGATGTAGGATGATGGCGATGATGGTGATTTAATAAGTCTGATGCATTTTCCAGTCTCGTCTGGAAACCGTGCCAAAGCTGCCTGAACCATAAGCCATAAACAACCCTAAACCCCTAAACTCTGAAATCCTAAACCCCAAACCCCTGAACCCTAAGCCCTGAAACCCCCAAACCCCAAAGCCCTGAAACCCCAAAACCCTGAAACCCCCAAATCCCCCAAATCCCCCAATACCCCTAAACCCCAATACCCCTAAACCCTGAGCCCCCAAAACCCCCAAGCCCCTAAAGCCCCAACAAGAGGTTGCCGGCGGAAGCTGCTAAGTCGGCCCCAGAGCGACCGGAGGTGCACAACTCGGGAGCCTGAGTTGCGCCTCGGGGCTTCTCTCGCGGGTTTCCTTTAACGGAGTTGTATGGGGTTTAGGGTTTAGGGTTTAGGGGTGTAGTAGGGGTTTGGGGTTTAAGGGTTAGGGGTTTAGGGTTTAGGGAGCTAGGTGGGGTTTAGAGAGTCTGACGACAGGGCTGCTTGTTTCTTTAGGCGGCAAGTTTCGGGGTGGGGTTCGAGGTGTCGTCTGGAGGGGTTTCGAGCGCTTCGGAGCTTTCCGGCGCAGGTTCGAGGAGTTCTACAAGCTCGCGCAGCAGATAGGCGAGGGATCCTTTGGCAACGTCTACAAGGCACGGTGGGTTTTCTAATCTCCGCGCCCTGCACCCCGTAGACCCTCAAGGCCCGGACCGCTTAACTCCTAAAGCTCTAAACCCCTATGGTCCTCGACTCTAAACCTGGTCTGACCCTGGGAACCCTAAACCCAGCCCCTAAACCCCAAACCCCAAACCCTAAAACCCTAAACCCTAAACTTCCCAAGCCCCAAACCCTAAAACCCTAAACCCTAAACCGTCCAGGCTTCCTCGAAATCCAAAGGGGAGGCCGTGGTCCGAAGCTGAGGGGTTTAGGGTTTGGGGTTGCTGTTGTTAAGGGTTACTGCGATGATTGCTATGCAGCGGGGGGGTTTGCAAAAGGGTCTGCTGAAGGGATGTGGCTTCTGTGAGGGTTTGGGGTTCTGCAAAGTTTTTTTGCAGGATGGGGATGGGGCTTTTGAAGCTTTGGCTTCGTTGGCCCCTGTCTTTAGAAACCCTAAACCTTAAACCCTATACCCTAAACCCCAAGCCCCAAATCCCCTTTGAGCCGTGCCGAGGCCCGAGCCGTGGCAGTCAAGGCTGGTCGCTGCACTGTCGGAGCCCTCAAGCTTCCGAACCCCGAGACCCCAAAGCCGATGATTAAACCCCGAAGCACCCTAAAGCCTAAAGTTTAAGCCCTGACCCTTGCAGTTAAGCTTTCAGTGTAAGCCTCACCCGAGGCAGGCTCGCTCAGACGAAAAGGCCACTACACTTAAACACTAACCCCTTAATACAAATCCTTGAACCCAGATCCCCAAATCCTGAACCCCGGACCTTCAACCCGAAGCTGGATCTCCGACAGGTCTTCTCCTTGGCGTCGCCCATCGCTTCCCCGCAGGCCGGGCTTGCCCAAACCCGACCAGGCCCAGATCCCAAGGAATGCGCACCAGAAGGGCAAAGAAGCTGATCCCGACACCCTGCTCTATAATCCCAAGACCCAAACCCCATAATCCCAAGACCCCAAACCCTAAACCTAGATTAAACTGCTCTAAACTCAAAGCTCGCGACCTGAAAGACCGCAACCAACGCTCGGAGCTCACATCTCCGTTGACACTGATGTTGTGTTGATGCTGTTGTGGTTGTTGCTCACCACTAGCGACTATGACCCAGTAGTTCGTATCTCTTCCGGGTGCCCCAAACCCTAAATCTCTCAACCCTAGACCCCGACCCCTAAACCCTTTCCTGAGCCCTAAAACCCTAAACCCTAAACCCCCCAGCATCCTAAATCGCTTTGCCAGGCCAAGGTAGAAAGCGAGGAAAGCAAGCGGAAGTTCGCCAGCTTCGTCGGCGAATACGCTGGAACCTCAACCTTTACCGCAGCCAAAAGTGTGGGATTTGAGCGGGTTCAGGGTTTAGGGTTTAGGGGCTGCTGGGGCTTTGGTTAAGGAATGCAAAACACATTCTTGTAACTTTCAGGGATGTGTACCAAATATCTTGTTCCGACATATGTTATCGAACTACTTGCATAGCAAGATGCCACTCTAGGGTCTAGGGTTCCGGGGAAGTGGCAGCAAGAAGGAGGATGCTCACTCAAAATACCGACAGTGGAGACGTGGAAAGCTCACAAAGGAAGAGCTTGAAAAGGCTTTGGACCGCGAGCAGGCCTATCGATAGCCACGAGAAGTTCGACAAGAATTTCGAACTTAACGAACTCGATGACATGGTCTTCTTCGTGGAATTTCAGGAGTATGCTTGGGAGGAGCGCTTTCCATCACTTGGTGAGGAGTGCTTTCCATTGCTTGATGCAGGGTCGATCCGAACATGATGGATCGCTATTCAGGATAGTTGCTGTCAGTACAGACGGCTCTTGCTTTGCGTTCCCGGGTCGACAGTTCAGAGAGCCACCCGTGCCGCTAGATTGGAAAGCAGTTTCGGCAGTGTGACGTGATGTGCCAGCAGATTAATATCAGTTTCGGCAGTGTGAGGTGCCAGCAGATTTGGTTTCAGTTTGGCCAGTGCGCTTGTCAAAGAGGTTGTTTGAAGTTACCACAGTGGGGATTGTTGGCGCATGATACTCCCAGCTGCGAATCCTTCGTCCAAAACCCCCAACAAGACCCAGGAAAACCCCGAAAAACAAACCCTAAACGCTAAACCTTAAACCCTGACGAGTAAACCCTACTACCCAAACCCACCAAGCCTTACGCCTAAACCCTAAAACCTAAACCCTATACCCCAAACCCTTAACCCCTAAACCCCTAAACCCCTAAACCCTTGTCTGCTGACTGCTTGCATAAACCCCTAAACCCCTAAATCCTAAACCCCAAGCCTTAACCCCTAAAGCTTGAAAGCTAAATCCGACGCCCCACACGCTAAAGGCGATGTTGTGCCGCCTGGACCACCCTCAGATTATCAGGCCGTCTTCCGAAGTTTTTTTGGGGGCCCCAACTCCTAAAACCTGAAGACCCAATATAGGGGCCTTAATAATTAGAACCGTTTTTTGGGGGTTTTAGGGCTTCGTTGTGGAGGGTTCAGGGTGTTTCAGAGTTCAGGGCTTTTGGGCACAAGGTTCTCTGTTCGTTTCGGGGCTGGCTCGAGAAGTTTTTGCTATGGCTGGGATGGCAGGCGCGGGTTGGAGGGAGTTTTTGCAGGCTTCTCTTCTCGGGTATCCAGAGCCGAAGCTACCGATGAAGTGTGCAGCAGTTTAGGAGTTTTGACTCGGATCTCCTTGTTCACCATCTACGGGTCTTGTCATTATCATTGTTGTCGTCATGGTGTTGTTCGCCGCATCTTTGTGAAAGGTACTTGTCCTTGTAGCCCTGTCCCATTCCTCAAACAGCCGCTTGCCACCCTTGCATCAGTGGGGCCTAGAGACCTGTTAAGGTATCTTTTATGCTTGTTACTGTTACGGTCTTTAGCATTAGTATGTTTGTTAGCGAAACTTTTTGCTTGTCTTACCAGGGATCCGTACCTTAACGTAAGAAAGATCCCGAATCCAAGAGACAATGCGGGGCCCTAAACGGCCCAAAACCCTAAATCTTAAACCTTAGATCCTAAACCCTAAACCCTAAATCCTAAACCCTAAATCCTAAACCCTAGACCCCTAGACCCTAAACCCTACATCCTAAAGCCAGGATGCACGAGAGCTTTCAGACCAACGCCGACCTACATCTCGTGCTGGAGATGTGCCGAGCCCTTAGAGGAAGGAATCCCAAGGGCCCCCAGCATGCAGGGCTTCGGGTTGAAGGGTTTAGGGTTTAGGATTTAGGGTTTAGGGTTTAGGGTTTAGGGTGAAGGGTTCAGGGTTTAGAAAGGAAGCACAAAACGCATCGCAGCCGTTGAGCGGTTCTGGCGGTGTTGCAGTCATGACTTCACCAGAACTGCAAGAACCTCGTGGGGTCGTCCAGCCCCAAACCATACAGTATGTGGCATGAGGCCCGGCCAGGCTACGCTGAATCCCGAGACCCTGAATTGAAGCTACAACTTCCTCCGCTCAGCATCTTTTATGTAATTTAGGGGAACTTCCTAAAGTAGCAGACCTTGCAACAATCCGCAAACCCCAACGCCAAAGCACCTGGCTGCAATTCTCAACCTGCGCTATAATCCCTACGCAACACTGCAGCAAACCGCACCCTCAAGTCCTCGAAGCCTCGAGCCCTCAACCCGAAACTCCAAAAAACCTTTAACATAAGCTCTAAACCCAAAGCCAAACTCCAAAACCCTTTAACCAAAAGCTCTAAACCCCAAACGCGAACCCCAAACCCCAAATCCCAAACAAACCCGATCCCCAAAGCCCAAACCCGAACCCCAAACCCCAAACCCCAAACCCGAACCCCAAAGCCCTAGCCCTAAACCCCACAGGTCGGGGTGGGGAGCTCTACGCCCTCTTGGTGCGGCGCATCAAGGAGGAGAGGCTGAGCTTGAAGTTTTAGGGTTTGGGGGTCAGGGTTTAGGGTTTAGGGTTTAGGGTTAAGTTTGGGGTTTCGGGTTTAGGGTTAAGGGTTGGGGCGGTTAGGGTTTCATCTTTGCTCGTGGCATCTTCGTGCTTCTCTGCTTCCTCTGCTTATCGGGGTCGTCGGTGCCAGAAGCAACAGAGACTATAAGAACGGTTGGTCAAGCTTTACTCATTACGAAAGCGATGTACGTCAATGTTTATTTTTGTGACTTCGTGCAAGTTCGGAATCATTTGAAGTACGCTGAAGGTCCAAGAGCACAGACGTTTGATCTCCAGCGTGAGCCTGCTTGGGTGCGAGGACAGCAGCCAGGGGAGCCACGGCCTCCTAGAGGAGGATGTCCGCATCTTCTTGAGGCCTATGTGGGGGTTTCAGAAAATAGGGGACCCTAATATAGTACCCTAAATAGTAGGATCCTAATTATAAGGACCCCAAATAAGGTACCCCTAATTTTTGGAAACTCCCATGTTCATAGATCCATGGCAGTGATCGTCGTCGTCGTGGTCGTCGTGGAGGCGGTAGTATGATGGATCTGGGGAATCTCGGCGACGTGTAAGGTTCATGGCTTCCGGGTGCAGGCATTTTTGACATAAGGGTTCTTGGAGGGGTCCGGGAGGAGCCAAAGGGCTGTGACTGCAGAGGCAGATGTTGCTGGCCGTGGCTTACCTTCACAATCGCCGGATCGTGCACCGTGACATCAAGCCGGTAGCCCAGGAACAGATTCGCTTCAGTGTATGCTATGACCGGGCTGCGCAAGCTTCACTTCCAACCCTTCCGAAGCTCATGTCTGCCCCCTGACATTCCAGAAAATCTACCTGTCAGAGCGGAAAAACCTATTCTAATAATTGAGGCCCCTACATTACGTAAGCCTTAAGCCCCAAACCTCCTCAGGCCCCCCGAGCCCTGATCCTCCAGCCTTGACCCCTGAACCTTAAATCCTCAACCCCTAAGCCTACCCTTCAATCTATGGAGCCCTTATAGAACCTTACCTTTAATAGATCCCTTATATGGAGTCCTTACAGACAGCCCTTAATCCCTTTAAACGGACCCCCCAAAACCGAAAACCCGAGGAAAACTTAGGCCCTCCCAAGACGAAACCCCTGGCCCCCAAACCCTCAACCGAAGGCCCTCCACCCCAAATCCAACAACCTTTAAAGTAGGGCTTAGGGTTTAGGGTTTAGGGTTTAGAGGTTTAGGGTTTTAGGGTTTAGGGTTTAGGGTTTAAATCCCGCTGAGTTTTCAACTCCAAACGGAAAAAGGTCTCGGTTAAGCCGAAAAAAAAGCCCTAAAACCCTATGTAAACCCACGGCCCAAACGCTTCCCCGAAGCCGAAGGCCCGAGAACTTCCTGGTCTACGGTGCCCCTGGCGAGCCTGAGGTGGCTTGGTTCCTTTTGGTGCAGGTGCACTAAACCCTAAAGCCTGAAGCCCTGAACATCCCTTTCCAGTATCTCTGAAGGAGCCGCAATCCCTTATATTGGCCGTCATCGTGAGCTTTTTGGCTTGCTTTCGTTCGAACCCTATATGAAGCCCCCCCTAACAGGAACCCTCAAGAACCCCTAAACCCTAAACCCTAAACCCTAAACCCTAAACCCCTAGCACTCAGTGTGAGCCACTGCAGGCCGACGTCCTTAAGCTCTGCGACTTCGGCACTGCCATGGTGCTCACGGATCAGAAGCCCAGGCTCTGAGGAACCCTAAACCCTAAACCCTAAAACCCTAAACCCTAAACTCTAAAACCAGGTTGGAGCTGAGCTTCTGAGGGATTTTTGCATGTGGGTGGCTTGTGAAAACAAGGGTCCCGTTCCAGGTCCCCAAAACAGTACGGTTTAGGGTTTAGGGTTTAGGGTTTAGGGTTTAGGGATAAGGACCGCAATTGGGATGCTGATTTAGAGAACTACCAATGGAGGGTTTAGGATTTGGGGTCCTAGGGTGTCGTTGCGGTATTGCAGTCCATCTTCAGCTACCGGCCAAGAAGTCGCGATGTCAGAGATCGGGCGAGTTTAACTCGTACAGCCTGCGACGCATAGACTCGCAGAGGGATCGGTGCTAACGGGCCCGAGGTAGGACCCCGTGCCTGTGCAAAAAACAACTCTGAGTTCGCAAGAGGCTTACAGGGCTGTGTTGCTATTGTTTTTTTGGGTATTGTTGTGCGGGTATCGGCTTCCAGACATCCGACCTAAACAGTCTTAAACCCTGTCGTCAAAGGGATGTTGTTCCACGCGTCCCTTGCATACTCCCCAAGGGGTTACGTCTGCGGCTTCCGGGACTCTTTCTACAGTCCTGGCGGGTGCAGGTCCATGGTGAACATTGGCACCCTTTCCTACACCGCTCCGGAGGCCAGTCTCTCCACTGGTAATCCTCGGCGAGGATGTAAGGTTCATGGTATACCCGAAAACCTGTACCCGACACCCCAAAAGATGTCTTCGACCAAGTGCTTCACTGAAAATGATTCTCGCATCAAGGAGCGATGGGAACAATCAAGGGCCAGTCGGCTAGTAATGCTAAGGCTTACATCAATAGCCAGCATTACATCTGCAAGGTAATCATTGCAGGAATAGGTGGAGTAGGGATAGGAGCTCTAGTGCAGCAGCATCGCTAAGAGCTTTAATCGTACTCACAGCACTGGTGCGAAGCCCCGAACCTTAAACCTTGAACCCTCAACCCTATATCCTAAACCCTAAGCCCTGAACCCTAAACCCCCTAAGCCGCTACATTCTAAAGCTAAAGTGAAGCGCAATGCAGCTGAGCAGGTTTACATGCGTAAGGGTGCAGACCTTCCAGCCGATGCCTGGCTCGGATCCCAGATCCCGACCTTGCCAAGATGCTATTGTAGTTGATAGTTGCATTGGTAAGAGTAATTCAGTGTATCATTATACTAACTGTACTACAATATAGTCCCATTAGTAAGAGTATTCCGTTTGTTAGTATTAGTAGTTCCACTGGTAAGAGTATTATTTGTATTAGTGTACTAACTTTACATAACTTTACTACAGTATGCCCCTACCTTTTTTGTATAAGAAACTATGTCATACTATACCTCAACCACGGGATTTAGAGGCTTTTGCTTCCAGCACTGCGTGTCGCTTTTCCGTGGAGCAACGTCGATGGAAACCTGTTGGTCTTGGAAATGCCACCTAAACCTAAACCCAAAAAAACCCCTATACGAGTCCCTAAACCGGTTGCCCTGCCGCAGCATGCGAGGCCTATCTCAAAAGAAAGGCCGCAGCAAAAGACTTAGCCGGTCATAACTGTCATAAGTAGACCACCTGTGATTTACAGGAAGATAGGAGGGGGAGCCCACAGATTGCAGGAGGTTGCATTGGTTTCTCCGCCATCTTGCAAAGTCAACCTGCAAGGTCCCTGGGCGTCGTTCTCTATGTCATGCTGTCCGGGCCTTGGTGCATGTGACAGTGCATCGGGTTTCAAGATTACAGTTGTGTACCATCGGAACACTCCATGCTGCAGAAGCCGCAAAGCAAAGACCCTACAGCCAAAGCCCGTAAGAGGCCTAAGCCCAGCGAGCCCCCCTAAACCCTACAAACCCTATAAACATTATAAGCCCTATAAACCCTATAAGCCCTATAAGCCCTATAAGCCCTATAGACCCTATAAACCCTATGCCTGTAGGCCCTGTGAGCCCAATAAACCCCAATAAGCCCTAAAAACCTTACAAACTGTATAAGCCCTAAACTCTAAACCCGCCCCTGGTGCCTCAGGACGGGCACGAACCCTTTCAGGGTGGGCAAAGAGACCTCGAAGCAGGCCGGGACCTCCCCCAACTTCTCCCAGCCACCCACCAAAAATATACCGTATGCCATAATAAGGCAATATCATATACTCTAATATATAATATACTATAATATATATATATATATATAAATAAATAATACTACAATATACTATAATCTACTATAATATGCCGTAATATGCCATAATATGATATAACATAATACAACCGACTTCAAGAAACCCAGAAGCATTGGCTTTCCCTGCAATTCAATCCTACATCCTGCAGCCGGGAAGCCGCAAGGACACGGTCAAGAAAATCAAGGCTGGTTCGCTGCGGCCTCAAACGATTTGGTGCATCTCAGGGCGATCGTCTTTCTGTGCACTCCGAATCCCATAGGCTTGGGGTTCTGCATTTGGGTTTGGGTTTTGGGTTTTGGATTTTGACTGTAGGGGTCCTGGGCTTCGGGCTTCACCGACGGTTCCTTAGCATCGAAACTCGAGGGCCCCAGAATCCATAATCCAATTACAACCTCGCCTTATATCCTAGCGGCCCTCGAACCGCCCCAAAGCCTCTGCAGGTTTGCAACGCAGCGGCCGGGCTGGCAAAAAGTCTCCGAAAACGGCCCGGGGCTTGGGGTTCGAGGTGGGAGGAGCAGGGGACTCAACCAGTAGTGATTTCCTCAGAGAAGATAAGTAGATGCGGACACGCATGTATTGTGGATTTCAGTTGTCTTGTTGACTCTGGTGACTACTTCCTACAAGCTGCATCCCCCAATGCAGAGCTGTCGGAAGTCCCAGTCGGCAGCCAGACACACTGAGGCTGTAGTGTGGGACCGTTTTCCGGCCAAGTCCGGGTCGAAAATGCAGCCTGGGGATCCTCAAGCTTACGCAGAGGGCTCCGGGATGAAGGTTTATATTACAGTACGCGCAGTGTTACAGTTTATGGCGGGTTAAAGTTTAGGTTTGTGGGGATCAGATTTGAGGCTTCAAAGTCAAGGTGAAGGAGTGTAGGGATGGAGTGTTCCGATCTTGCGCTTTCCTGGTCAGAACTCAACCCCCCGAGCCCAAAACACGGGAGTCGACGTCGAGGTCTCTGTGTCCGCCCTCCTGGCCAAAATAGACAAGTGGAGAAGATCAAGACATATATATATATATAT